ATTAATTTTATGCCCTTGAGTGAGTGAGTTAAACATTAATGTCACACTATTCAGCTACACTAGGGCTTTTGGCGGCAGACCTCGTAATTTTGAACCATTGTCGGGTGAAGAAGACGACACCTGAGTTGGCACAACCTCTCCTAACTTCCGCACCCCACCTACGGGAGGATGCTTGAGAGCTTCGACACATTTAACGTACATCAGCCCCTTCTGCATGGAGAGTCTCAGCGGTACTAGGTTCGAACTCATGGCACACCAGCCGCGAGTCTGTTACCCTGACCACTAGGCTACCGCGGCCAATTTAGACCCTTGAAGAATATAGAGGAAATTTGATTCTAAACGTCCGTGTTGGAGAGTGAGTGAGAATTATGTAAACGTCGCACTATAAAGCAACACGATGGCTATTGGTGATGGACCTCATCATTTTGAACCAAGTTAATTGACGAGGACGACACCGAACTTACATCCCTCCTCTCCAAACTACTTCCCCATTCCATCGGGAATACGTCTGAGCCACAACAAATTTTATCGTGTTTTAGCCCCTCTACACGGTGGGTCTTCTTTGTGGCTATAGGCTCGAACTCAGGACATGCTGGCCATGAGTTAGTGATCATAATAGCTAGGCTACCACGACCACAGCGTCAATGTTGAGTAAAAAAAAAAAAAGGAGAAATAGAATAATATAAGAGAAAAAGATAATTCTAAGCACACACAACCTGAGTTAAAAGCAGTTTTGAATTAATACATATTTTATATGTATATAATGAAATGTTTTTGGGAATAAATTATCGTTTAAAAAAACTAAAAAACACTTTTATAGTTAATTGAACTAAGTTGTAACCTAATCTTTTAGTCGCCAAATCTGAAAAAAATGGAATCTAAAATTATTCGCCAGATGTGGATGAGATCTGAAAATGGGAAATCGTTAATCCTGATGATCCTGATCAGGACAATGGAACAAAATTATTAAATTATTGTATTGTCATTGTGTGCAAAAACTTCGAAATAATCTGACCTTTTAAAGTGGGTAAAAATGGAGTTCAATGATTCCGTTACATACAAGTAGAAGCTTATAAAAGGGTGTTAAAAGAGAGTTATTCCTCTATTTAAAAGACTTTGAGATAATCTTTTCATACTTATTTTACTCAATGGGCTCAATTAACGACGGTCACATGATACAGACAATCACGTGTTCGCTATTGAATTCAAAACAGACATTAAATAATTGTACTTGCTGTTCCATTTGTAAAACTTAGATAAAATTTGAAATTTCATAATTGGGTAAAAATGCTCAAATGTTATAAAAAATTTTTTGAAAAAGACTTCAAATTAAAAAAAAAAATTTTTTTTTGTGTTATTTCAAATATATTGCATTTTGTTTAATTAAATGCGTTATATTATTATTGTTGACAAAAACGTATTTTTTAAGAGAAAGTTTCTGCAAACAGCAAAAGTTGGCAACAACGAAATGCATGAACTGAATAGCTGGCATGATTACTTTTATTGAATGACTATGACGTCACGTGAGTTTTTGAACTGATTGGTTAGAAACACGTGGTTGTCATTATCATGTGACTATGACATCACATGAATTGAGCCCATTTTTCTACCGTTTCTTACGGCGATGATTTTAACACCTATCAAAAATATTCAAAAATAAGCATGTCTCATACATGGGCTTGCTAACCTGCGTCTTATTTTAAATTCCAATAAATAAAAAACATGTTTCATCATAACATGTCTAAAAAAAAAGTGTCAAGGAAAAAGAAATAAATCTATTTTAACGCGCCATATTACCTTCTACGCACAAGATCCGTTATTCAAATATCATTGATAATTCCAATCGACATATTCCATTTATTTCTTCTAACAGTACTTGTCAGACAAGAAAGTTCGTCCTTGCTTATGCAAGCAATTACAAAGTAGCAACGAAAGTGAAAAAGGCGGGAAGGAGAACAATGAGATCTAATTAAGAATAGAAAAACCGGTGAAAGGAATCCGCAACGGCCGCTGTAGGCAACTATGTCTGGGTCAGGTCAAAACAATGGGCACTGTCCATCCACGACTTAATTGTTTTCGGAGGGTGAGAAATTTAAACAACAATGGGGGAAATGTCTTTTATGTTGTACCTGAACTAGCATTTTTTCACCCAAGGTTGCACACTTAAATGGGTGCGGATTGTTTGAAATACCCTGTTGTGAGAATAATGAGTTTTTGTGCTATTTGGACAAGATGGTTCACTGAGTTTTGTTCTTTAAACAATGGTCCATTGCACAATAAATGATTGCGATTATAAGTTTTTATCAATGACTGTGCGACGTGATGTTTGAAAGAAAATACCTTATTATTTAGTTCGTTTTGTTGATATATAGACTGAATATGGTATATAAAAATGTTGCTTATGCGAAAAGGTTTGTGGGAAACTCATGTCAAAAGAACGTTAGATTTGCTTCTTGTAGATGCATAGCTGAAATATAAGAGTTTATACATCGGGGCTCTTAAGATAGGGTTAATTGTTTGGATCCTATTTTAATCTACTTCTTTATTTATCGTCACCTTGCCAAATTTTTGTCGCCGTATTGAATAGATGCAATACAGAAAAACGAGCTGTTGGCGTGATTTGGAATCATTTTTCCGTCGTCAAAGGTGTGAACTGAACTAGGATTTTAACGGAAATTTTTAGTTACTTAACTCAAGATCATTTCATACATGATAGACCCAAAATTATCAAAACGTATGATTATGTCTACTATTATATAAGTAATAATAAATAAAAAAATAATGAAAAAAAGTATTTTTTTATTGAAAACTATTTCGTTTTCTTCCTTTTCTGTCATTGAACATTGTGTTGTCTTTGCTTGCATACATTCTGAAAGGTGGCGTGGCAGGAGCGGACGTGGTAGGAGCGGATACACATAACATTTCGTGGGATGAGCGGACACATTGAAACTCATCGTGGTTTGAGCGGACACATTTTTTACCCCATCTTAGAACAGATTCTATTACCGAATTACAAGGATAAATACATTTTCGCCAATCAAATTTAATTACTTGTATTAAATTGTTAAGATGTCATAGTGAGAAAACATTTTAAACATAGCGAAATGTAATAGAAATAAAAACTTTCAAAGAAATATTTAAAAATTAATAGTAAGTAACAATATAACGAAAAGTATGAACGAATTTCAGGAATTTTGTGGAAAACTGTATTTTAGAGTCAAATAAATATTAGAACAGGTGCAATAGCTATACAATTAATTAGTTTCATGAAAGGAAGTAAAAATAAATACTAGAAGTAAAATACGCAAGATGCAAGGTTATTTAGTATTTATTTACTTGTATTATTTTTATTTTATCTACTTGCATCTTGCGTATTTTATTTCCAGTATTTATTTTTACTTCCTTTCATGAAACTAATTAATTGTATGGCTATTGCACCTGTTCTAATATTTATTTGACTCTAAAATACAGTTTTCCACAAAATTCCTGAAATTCGTTCATACCTTTCACTATATTGTTACTTCCTATTTATTTTTAAATATTTCTCTGAAAGTTTTTATTTCTGTTACATTTCGCTATGTTAAAAATGTATTCGCACTATAACATCTTAACAATATAATACAAGTAATTAAATTTGATTGGCGAAAATGTATTTATCATCGTAATTCGGTAATCGAATCTGTTCTAAGATGGGGGGGGGGGAATGTGTCCGCTCAAACCACTATGAGTTTCAAAGTGTCCGCTCAGCCCACGAAATGTTATGTGTCCACTCCTGCCACGCAACCTTCTGAAAGCACTAGTTCTTGTCCGATCACCAAAGTTAAGCATCATCGAGTACAGCCAGTACTTGAGAGAGTGACCATCTGGGAACACCACGATTTGATAATACGGAATAAGTGAGTACTTATTAATGTCGCACTACAAAGCAACACGAGAGCTATACACGATCATAGTCAAGTGAAGAGGACGATACCAGAGCTGTCAACCCCTCTCAAAACTTCCACATTAGATCAGCGGGAGGACTTTGAGCCTCGATAGGTTTAAAGTGCATCAGCCATTCTATACGATGGCTCTTCAGCAGCACTAACCCTGTCAGGGGCTTATATTCTTTAGATGAGTGCGGGTGTCACAATCTCAAGGTGTCTTAATGATCTTTTCCAATTCTCAAGGGGTTTACTGTCTTTGGTAAACACGGGTTTCACACTCCCGGGATACCCTAGTGATCCTTCTCTATTTTCGACTCTATTTCTTGTCATCCTCTTTTCTTCCTTCTTTCCTTTCCACGTCAAAATCACAGATGTACTTTTTTAAATATAGCAGAATATAATTCTAGATCTCTTTTGTTTTGATTGGATAATAACATTCATAATTATTAATACAGCTTGGTTATTTGCAATGCGTTAATTTAGTTTCATTTTTTGTTAAATTTTCTCCCCAATTGGTTCGTGTCGAAACTGTTTTTTCAGGTTTTTGCATTCTAATGCTATTAACATTTAATTTTTTACCTCAATGATTTAAATCAGTGATTCCCAAAGTGGTCTATATAGACACCCAGGGGTCTATGACGACCTCCAAGGGGTCTACGTCAGCCAAAAATTAATTTGGGGGTCCATGAGGTGTAAGTGGTGGTCTATGTTAGAGGCTCTCATTAAACTAGACGAGGTTCCGAATTGTCTAAATTTGTCACAGACAATCTGTCAGAACGTTTTAACCAACGTTCAACATTAAAATGTCTTTTATTCAGATTTTGAAACCAGGTTTGAGAATGTTTTGACTATAGCAATACCACAGTAGGCAATGAATTCACATGGTCACATTGAAAAAAAATATCACATTCAATAGGAACAGATCATAATAAGCACTAACGAAGATCTTAAAGTTTAGAAAAGGATGCCAGAGCAATTTTGGCTTTAAAGAGTCAAACCTGTTATTTGTCACGATTTAGGATATATCGTGGGGAAGTTTTTCATTGCTTTTCCTAGTATGAAGGAGTTTCAGCACGGTTGCCAATCCCCAAAACGGAAAAAGAAAAAAAAAAAAAACTGGACACGAACAGAGAATATTTGAGGTTAAACTACACAAGATTGATGCCAAATGTTGAAAATTTGAGATTCTGGTGCTAGAGATTCATCCCTCACATTAAAATCTTTTTTTTTTGTTGTTTAGTTAAGTGTATATTTAACAATTTTATTTATAAATTAAATTTTAATTTAATTAATTAACATGTGTTTTTTAAATTTTAAACACTATACTTCATTACAGTCAGAAATTTAATTCTTTTAAAGTAGGAGTTGTAGTACCAGCAGTCAAAAAGAAATTTTTTTTATTTAACATTTATAAACCCCGTGCACCACGCAATGTATAACACGGGGGCATACAACACAGACAGAAGAAAGGATTACAACACAAACATCCATGCCTTCTCCGGGATTCGAACCCAGTCCCTACGGCACCGCAGTCAGCTTCACTGACCACTATACCGGATGGGCGGCTAAAAAGATGTTTAAGTTAATAAATTTGCAAAAATTCAATATTAATTTTGCAGGGTCTACCCCAAACCGAAAAACATGGCAAGGGGTCTATCAGACAAAAAGTTAGGGAACCTCTGATTTAAATAGTGTTTTGGTCAGCACTTTTATATGTATGTGCATATATGCAGGTATATATGTTTGTATACACTGGTGTGCAAAAATTAAGGATGAAGTCGAAAAATTAGCATATCAGCTGAACGAAGAGGCAGAGCGGACAGAAAGACCAATCAGGAGATTAAGTGAGGTGATGTACGGTAGCACATGCGCAGATATGCAGGTAGACGTAATGGGGGAGTGTCTGAGTAGTAAAGCATGTTGTCGGTGTAAGATTAGTATTTCTGGCAAAGAGATTGCACACCGTATAGCAGTTAAAATCACACCGAGTTGCCGCCTCAGCGAGAAATGGCGAATAATCAATCTGTTAGACGACATCTAGATGCTTTTACCCGAGGTCGAATCATTGGGAAGTTGGAGGAAGGTCGCAGTGTGACAAGTGTGGCTGCAGAGTTCGGAATTGCTCACAGCATCGTTTCATGACTTTGGAGACAATTTCAAACTACAGGAACAGCTATCCGGGGATTCAGTAGTGGTCGTCCACGAGGAACCACACCCGCAGATGACCGGTATATTGCCTTACAGGTCAGAAGAAACAGGCGGCAGACAGCGGGAGAAATCGCAAGACACACGACACAGGCGACTGGACGACCGATATCGCGTTTTACCGTGGCCAGAAGACTGCACGGTGGTGGTCTGTTTGCACGACGCCCTGTACGGTGTGTACCTCTAACGCCTGCCCATCGGAGAAGGCGTTCTCTGTGGTGCCGGGAATACCGGAATTGGAGAGACAATGAATGGGGACGAGTACTCTTTACAGATGAGAGCAGATTCAGTCTGAGCAGCGATTCTCATTGCATACTCATCTAGAGAGAGCGGGGAAGCCGCAATCATCCCTCGAACATCATTGAAAGGGACAGGTATGGAGGTGGCGGTGTTCTCGTTTGGGGAGGCATCATACTTGGTAGTCGTACAGACCTTCACATCTTCGACGCAGGTTCAGTCAACGGGACCCGTTATTGTAACGAGATTCTTCTTCCATATGTGCGTCTTTTTAGATGCGCTATGGGTCCGCAGTTCCTTTTCATGGACGACAATGCACCATGTCATCACACAGTAGCTGCCGAACAGCTCTTAGAGAGTGAGGATATTGAACGTATGGATTGGCCGGCACGATCTCCGGATCTCAATCCCATCGAGCATGTATGGGATTTTCTAGGCAGACGCTTGGCAGCTCGTACCTTACCACCAGTAACGATTCCGGAGCTTCGATTGGCGCTGCAAGACGAATGGGCAGCAATGCCTCAACAACTCATTGACACCCACATTCTCAGCATGGGCAGACGCTGTGAAACCTGCCTAGCAGTCAGGGGAGATCATATCCCCTACTAAAGACCGGATATTTCTTGCTGGACACCCATCACAGGGATGTTTCGGCCTTCAGTCGCATTGCGCTCCATGCTACTTTTTCAATAAAGCTTCTTTTTATCCCTCTGATTTCTCTTTTAGTAAGTGTTGCTTACATTACTCATGTCCTTACGTATTGGGTATCTTACGGTATTAAATGTGCTGATTTGGAATGCTTTTGTACAAAGTTATATTGAAAAAACCGTCTCGTCCTTAATTTTTGCACACCAGTGTATTTTTAAGTTCTTATATATTTAGTCTTTTAAACTTTTAACTAAAGTTTGGCACAGTATGGCCAAAATTGGCCTTTGCGCCATAAAACACAACACTCACTCGCTCAGTGGCATTAAAGCTCGAATTCTGGCCACAAGTCCGTAACCATGACCACTAGGCTACCGCGGCCACACGGATTTATGGAAATAATCACCCACAGATCCCAGTAGATTACAAGGTTCCTAGTTAAAAAATTACTTTAGCCTCTCATTACAATCTCGATAAAGCAATTTGAGAGAATAATTAGTTATTGCTTCGTAAAATATTTAAGTTGCTGTCAAAATAATATAGTGAAAATGCAATAGTTTCCACAAGGTAGGGTAAACTGGGGGAAGAGGGTGTAAGTAAACAGTTTTGTGTCTGATTGACCTCCTTAGGTGCAGACCACCCAAGGGGAGGTTATGTAAAAAACAGTATCCCCTATTCAAATGTGAATGATTCTTATAGAGTTAAATATTCTATGCAAATAAAACCGATTCTGTAATACGTGCGCACGGTGCGAATCAAGTTAATAAAAATAACCTTTAGATAAAAAGGAATTAGTATATTTTTATACATTAAACAATGATAGCTCACTAACATCCGCTTTGGAATAAATCCAATTTTAGACAGGTTCTACTCAGACATAAAACTTTTTGTTTCAAAATGCCTCGAGTGCGTCGAATAATACATGCGTATGTTCTCAGTTTTCGAATCGATGTCGAAAATTTACCGGAGAAGTATTACTCCAGCACAAAGCCATAACAAGCAAATATAATATCATTGTCTGGAATAACCATGCAATACCAACATTTCAAAACATCCAGAGAAAAAAGGCAGGAGAAATTCTCTTGACAAAATTTTATTGATTCTCAAACCAAATGATCATAAAAAAGATCTAAGAAAAAAAAAGAGACAGAAAAGAAAACTTTAAAAAATTTTTTCATCAATTTTATCTAATCGTTTTTGCTTTTATGTATTTTAGTATTAAGCAATGTGTTTAAATAATTCTGTACAAACGCATCTATGTACAATATTACTGTAACAAAATAACTTTTTTTTTCATGTTTGGAAAAGGCTTAATCTTACATTTTATTTTTTTAAACAAGCCAGCCGTGGTTCTGTGTAAACTGTAAAGTTTTGATATGAATACATTTTCTTTAAAAAAAAATTGAAGGGATTTACATTATATATAAACTAATACAAACACAAAAACTAATATAAAGCATATATTTTTAAATTGAATTTGAAGGCTTATTCTTTTTCAACACTTCTTAATAAAAAGTAGCGAATATACCAAAACAGATTTTTTTTTTAAAAAAAAGAAGTTGCGAGGTGTTTTCAATAAAAATAATGTAACAAACTAGTTATAATTAATTTTATTCTTTTACTATATATATTGATTAAATAATTAATTATTTTTGTTTTTGCTTTTGAGAGGCAAAACAATTATACTCCTATTGGTAACACTGATATTAAAACTGAAGAAAGAGAACGAGAATAATACAATTTTAGAAAAGTGGTTGTTTCATATGGCAAAATTGTTAATCAATCCATTTAAATCTGAGGTCTTTCGCCAAAGAGCCTCAAAACCAAAAACTAAAAATTGAAAGTTAAAACATAACAAGACTAAA